CCCCCCCAACCAACTCTCTTCACCCATTCTTTCTCTTCCCAATTATCTGAGAAAACCTTTAATATTCCCTCACAAATATCCGTAGTTTTCAAAAAATAAAAATTAATAAAATTAAAATCGATAAAAGCTTACTCTTTAGTTTGATTTGATTTACATATTTAGAAAATCGAGGAGTGGATTTGGTTTTTACTTAAGGAAAAATTAATCCACCTCGAACCACAATAATACTAATTTTGGTAAACATTTCCAGAGAGGGGCAAATTTATTGTAAGCTTTCTTAATTTCTTCTCTTTTCTTAATTTGAAGATTAATTGTTGACTACAGCCACTCTACCTACATGTAATGAAATTGGTCCAATACAATTAATTTTTTGACAAAATCGTTACTTCTTATTATTTTTTTTTTTGTTATGTTAAAGAAATGATTCTCCTATATACACTGTATCTTTTAGCTTTAACAAAACTGTCATGTGACTGATCTAACATATTGTTTAAGTCAAATCAAACGTGCTGAATTTGTTGCCTATCATTGTTTGAATAACTTGTCTATGGCTTCCCTTTGATTTCAGTGAATGACATTCGAGATTGAAATTATTGTGTTACATGTTTAATTTGATTTATTCCTCTCAAAACAAATATGTATGTTTCTCTACTTGTTCGCGAAATTTTGAGGATATTATGTTTTTTGTTATCAATTTAACTAAATGGTGTAAATTAATGTTTAAATGCCCATAATATTTGACCAATTACAATTTATTAATTCTTGCTTAGTGTTCTCTACCTTTTACATTTTAACATATTAGTCTTCGATATACATGAGGTAAGTGTCAACATTTTAACATATTCCCGGAGCTTACTATTGATTGTCCTTGGAAGAGTTATCTCCAAAAACAATGGTAAGTTTTGCCCCTCCAAAAACGCGGCAGGGAGGATCATATGACTTGAAGACCCAAAATATACACACATTTAAAATATTATTCTTTTCATCTTTTTGTTTATAGTATAGTATTTGTATAACTTTTTTTTTTCTGCTAAAATGACAAGATGTATTAAGCAGAAAATTGAAAAGAGTTATTACAATATGAAATCTATGAGCACCTAATTTTTGCTCCGCATGGAAATAACTCCTAAAAATAGACCAAAAATAATTTTAATGAATTTTAGGAGTTTTTCTTTATTTAGTTGTATTTCATGCATGTTTAATATTTTAAAATCATAAGAACAATCATAAAAATAGTCACATTTTCGTTTCATGCCATCGTAAGAATTAGCTACTCTTTAATTGTTAGAATTAATACATAAAAAATCAAGCAAAATATTTCGCGCATTTGTTATTAGATAAATAGAATTTGCTAATGAGATTTAAGTTAGATTTTAATTTATTTTTTCAAGAATTTAAAAAACAAAGGGAAAGGAAAACAAAGAAAGAAAAAGGGGAAAAAGTTATTTTTTGGTCTAGATTCGAACTGCGCCAATTTTCATGGCCCAATCCCTCAAAATCCACCCCATTCCCTCTCAAACAACCCAAGGACCCAGCCTAAATCCCCTCTCTTTAAAACCCCATTATCCTAAAAAAAACTGGAGAATCAGATTCCCTCCCCCATGAATAAACCCTAGCCGCCCCTCTATTCCCCTACATTCTCCCCAATTAAAAATCCTAGAAGCCGATGCAGACTTCTTCTTCCTCATCTCCTCACTAGACGGATTCCCCACTAGAAAACCTAAACCTAACCGCCTCTCTTCTCCAAACAAGAGAAGGATTTCCCCAAATCACTCCTTCTTCACTCACACTCACACGCACCTCTCAATGAAAAAGGTTGAAACACAAATATTCTACGTTCAAATTTGAATTGAGACCTAAAAAAGAGCTCTATAAAAAATAAGAAAGCAATAACTATTTTGCTAATTCAAAATCAAGTTCTCCTGCATTTCTGGGCTTCAAATCAGATTTAGTTGGATTA